GTGACGGTGGACGGTGGCGGTGAACGGTTGTGGTGGTGAAGAGAAGTAGAAAAAAAAGGAGAAGATGTTAGAAGACATTGGTTAATGTTTTCTCCAAGAAGATGCCAGGAAGACCTTTTTGAGTGAAATGTCTTCCAAAAAACAAACAATCTGCAGAGCCCATCATCTGCGCGCGTCTGCGCGGGGCAGACAAAAGACGCCAGAAGGTCTTCTGGCGGAAAAACAAACACCCCCTAATAATCTATCCATCAAACCATACTTTTACCAATCACATCAAAGGACATTTTTGGAAATTCAATACCAAAATACATTTCCCTTAAATCCCTCCTAAAAAACAAAAGTTCCATGTTTCATGGGACGGAGGTGGTATCATATCTACAAAACTCGCCAAATAGGCGCGTAAATTTGGAGCACAGAAAATAACTCATTAAAATTACTCCCTCAAATTCGTGGGGAGCTCACACTCATAACACACAATTTTACCAAATGAGTTTTTTTTGTAGGAAGTTTACCAAAGGAGTTAATCTCCTTTTCACAGAAAAAACCATGCTCTTATTGGATGCCACCCAAATCAATAATGAGGAGTTCTATTCTTATTTGAATTGTACTGTTTCATTTTGTTTTCCTTTCTCGAAAGGAAAATGCTAGGGGTACACCAAAAGTGTACCCAAACATCCTCTACTCCCTCCATCACCATACAAAAATGGCAAGAAAATTTCAAAAAAATGTAAGAAATAAAAAGAAAATAAAATGAATAATATAGATGCAAGTGATGTACATTTGGGGTACCCCTAGCATATCCCTTCTCGAAATGCCTCACTCCCTTCTTTTCTTCTTCCTTAATCCTTAAGTATGGGGCCCTCGGTTTTTAGGTACCCACCAAACACCCATCTTCCGGAACACTATGATCATTTAAAAATTACCGTACAACCCTATGCTTCTAACAATAACATACTACCTCCGTCTCATTCTCTTTGTCCACTTTTGACTTTTGGAACTGTTCATCTAAGCATTTTGACTCATCAAATTCTCTCAATGTGTAAGCCTAAATATAGTCATGTGTCATCTTGTTTGATTTGTCATAACATATAGATTATTAATATATAATTTCTATAATTTTTTAATATACAAATTACAAGATAAAATGGATTAAAGAAGTGCATTGGATGGTGCGCCAAAAAGTAAGCGGACAAAGACAGTGAGACGGAGGGAGTATTTTTATATATCCCTCTTGTCCATATCTTTTGTAGCATTTGTTTTTTTTAACAAATTTAATAAATTTTGACAAATAGCATTATATTGGACTACAATATAAATTTCATGTTAATAAATTTATTTCGAAATGTTTATTGAGTAGTATTTTTTTAAGTGCTATAATAAAGACAATAAGAAATTAAATGAGAAGAGAGTAAAAGATAGAGGTGGTATTAAAGAAATTTGTACTCTAAAAACTTCCATCTCTAATCAACTCAACCCACTCTCCTACCTATATACATGTCAATGAACCAACTCAACCAAAAGCTCAAGCCTGTGGTTGTGGGCATAGGAACAGTTAATTATATTCTAACACGCCCCCTCACATGCAGACGTAGTCTTTTTCGAGCCTTGCACGTGAAACCTTAATTTTTTTAAAACTGGGTGGCGCTAAGTTTCGAACCCGTGACCTCTTAGTCAACATGGCCCTGATACTATGTCAAGGAACCAACTCAACCAAAAGCTCAAACTTGTGGTTGTTGGCACAGGAACAGTTATTTATATTCTAACAATAGACATTATATCTATTCAATTTACTTCAAAAGTTGTAATAATCAATCAATTAAAAAGATGGAAGAGATAGAGTATATTCAAATGCTATGAGACTAGGAGTAATTTTAATTAATTATTCCTCCCTATCTAGTATATACCCATACGAGAAATTTACTTAAATAACATTAAAGCATAATGACTTTCCTTAAATAGCATCACATATGTTTTTCTTTCCAATGTAGCATTTTTAGTCATTATGCATTAGTCATTATTCAAATAAATATTCGCCATCACTGGACATTGTGGACATTATTAAGTGCTATTTAAGGAATAAAACAATTTAAGTGCTATTTAGAGAAATACAACAACAACAACAACCTAGTTAAATCCCACAAGAGTAGGGTGTAGGAAGGGTGTGTGTACGCAGACTTTACTCCTACTCGAAAGTAGAAAGGCTGTTTCCAAAGAAACTCCGGCTCAACGTCGAAAGTTGCATTGCTTGACTAACTGCTACTTCATTAATTAAAGAAGCACAGACAGTTTAGAGATCCATTTTGATTTATCCTATCACACCCCAAAGCCAAAAAATGGTGAAATTTTGGCTCCATCAGAGATGATGGAAAGCTATTTAGAAAAATGACTTAAATTTTAATGGTATTTAGTGCAAATATTTCATACCCATATACCTTATGAAATCTGAGAACAATAACAAAAAGAATACATCTATCATTCACAAATGAAAGATCAAAACATGTGATTTAATTTATATGATCTTCAAGTATATATCTAAAGCAACACCAAAATTGCAATTTACATAGACAAAAGCAATTGAATATTCATCTTGTTCACCTCTTAGTTTTGCAGTTGTGGGAGAGAAGGAAACCATTTGGGGGACCTGTCATCTCCACTTGGCATCTCCCATGCAACCAATAAGAATAGTGAATCATCCCAAGTTCCACTCTCACCTTAAACACTCCCCTCATATTAAAAACCACCCTATTGTTCAACACTTGCTTTTGTAGCCCCAAAGCATGACTTGGGGGCAAATAAACCAGGCTTGATATGAGATGAACCGGGACCGCTCTGACCCCCCCTTTCGTCAGACGGAAGGGGGAGATCACCTGAGACGCTATCTGCGTGTCTGAAAAGTACAGCCCGAGCTCCAGAGACTCGAAACTGACTTCGAGTCTCCTGTTCGGGTTCGAGAAGTTGGCCAGAAAGGCCAACTCTGCGTTCAGGGACTGGAAGGAGTTGAGGTAGACGAAGTTGAGGGTCCCACCCGGGGTGTCGAACCCCGGGTTCCTGGGCCTGATGCCGAGGAAGATGACGAGAGTCGCCGCGCCGGAGAGGATCAAGAGGATGCTGAAGATCAAACACAAGAATGAGATGCACCACACCACCGGGTTCGTCTTCCGGCCGCCGGCGGATCTTAGTTTGGGATATGTCTTCTGTAGTGTGATTGGTTTGGTCATCTTCCGCTGTGGGATCTCCGGCTTCGGCGGCGCGTGTAGTTTAGGGGATGGAGTGGTTCGGGCTGAGGGGGGTGGAGGCAGAGGCAGCTTTGTTGTGGGCGGCGGCGGGGGGGGAAGCATCACGGGAGAAGAGTATTCAGGGGAGAAGAAGTTCAAGCTCTCAGAAGATGTCATGGGTATTGAAAATTGATTGTATTGAAAATTGATTGAATGAAAGGGGAGCTTAAGGAAGAGGAGGAGGAATTTAAAAGAAAGGAAAAAGTTTGAAAAGGTTGGTGTATGATTGTCTATATATACATAATTATCCCTATGATAGTTAAATAAGGGTATTGTACATTACAGAAAAATTTAGAAATCTTATTTCGTAAATAAAAATATAAAAGTCTTATTTTAGTATTTTTTTATGTTTTAGTCTTGTTTAGGGTGATTTTTATATTTTTTGTATATTTGTGTATTTTCATTGAGTATTCGATAAAATAAAATATTTTTTTCACGTCTTGTTTGTAAAAAATTTTGATGTAGTTTTTTAATATATAATTTTTATTTCTTATTCACATATCAATTTATAAATAAAATAATTTCAAAAGACGATAAGTTTTACCTCGTAACTTCCAATTTATAATCAAATTAGGGACTGAGGTAGTATAACAAATTATTGTACTTTGATGACATGAATGAATCGCAAACTCTTTTGAAGGGTTTGTGTAAAATTCTGCATTCATATTGATGAGATTTCAGCCCAACGATTATGGTGAGACGAAGAACTGAATGAGAATAACAAGAATATAGATGAAGTATAGAATTCTCGTAAGCTTGTATTAGCTATCTTCAGTTTGAGTTACAATGAAGGATTCCTCTCTTATTTATAACATAATTATATTGGATACAATGTATGCAATTTTGTGCGCTACATTATCGTTAAATCAACTATCATGCATCAATCGTCACGGAGAATCAGTCGTCAATCAATTCTCATTCTTACGATTTTGGGAATTACGTTTCTCTCTTACACCATGTTTAATCCACCTTTTTGGACCGTACTTAGCCCGCCACTTCGCTTGTTCTTTAGGCTTCGGCCTCTGATCTCCTCTTGTTCTAAACTCGGGCTCTATTTCTGTTGGGTCACAAAATCATATTTGGGCCCATTGGACTTGCTCCAAGCTAAGGTCCTGATATCCATCACACACTCCCAAACCTAGCACAAAGAGACTGTTGGTGCAACATTTTTAAAGCTCAGAGAGACAATATTTTATTTTTTAAAGATTGGGATGAATCCATCCAATTTTCAAAAAAGTTTTCCAGTAAATCACACAAAATCTCATTTAATTTATTTAAACGACTATTAGGGGTGAGCAAGGACCGAAAAATACCGAACCGATCAAGTTCCGAAAAGAAACTGAACCGTACCGAATCGAACGGCCGGTCCGGTTGGGAACGGTACGAGGTTACTTCCCATACCGAAATTCCCGAACCGAACATACATACTAATATATTATAATATAATAATCTTTTTATATTTCTTCATTAAATAAAAAAATTATAAAGACAATTTAGTTTATTTTCATTATGTTTAAGTTGCATTTTAATAAGAGTTTTTTATTTTTTGTAGATGAGTAAAAGAATATTAACAAATATTTGAAATGGTACTTTGTTATCACTCTTTTTCTTTAGTTTGTGAAATATAAACTAACTTTCACAAACATTTCTTGCATTTTATTTTTTCATTTTTGAATTTTTTTTATCTTTCTTTGGTTTAATGTACATTTGATTTTTCAAAAATAAAAGGTTTTGTTATATTTTATGATGTAAACTAGGTACGTATATATTCATCTCGATTCGTACCGAAACCGATGCCGAACCATCCCGAACCATACCAAATCGATGCTTCGGGATCGGGATCGGTACAACATAAAATCTCATACCGAACTGAAATATTTGGAACCATCCCGAACCATACCGTACCACGCTCACCCCTAACGACTATACAAAATTTTAAAATAAAATTCATATATTAAAAAATTATATTTAAGTAATAACACGACTATGTTATTTTAAGAAATGATTCAAAAAAATAGATAAAAAACGAAACAAAATTTGGTCCATGAATAGTATTTGTGATTTTAATAAAGATAGTTAGTTAGAGTATTTTAAAGTAAGGTGTGATCAAGTATAAAGAGAAATAATGTGCGAACAAGCTTTTTAGGCACTTTAACTTTTTTTTTTCTCCTTATTGTTTGCATTTTGAAATGTAAGTGTCGTGCAGTGCATGGGGAAAACAAAAAGAAGGGCCCAAGTGGCTCTGCAAAGTGGTTCCCTTTTCCTTCATGAGCTTCTGTCGTTATCTCTACTTTGTTGAACTTGCAACTCTTACATGTTTGACCTGTCAAATATAAATAATAAAAAAAAGGTACAATGCCAACCTAGGCCTATTTTATTTAGATATTATTCCAGTCTCTCTCTCTCATTTTTTTAATGGGAAAACTTAAAGATACCTCAAATGAGGAGTGTATCTTAGATATATACAGTAGCTTCTATCTCTGTAAGAAGCTGACGGATTAAAAAAATGAAAAAGTTGGTTTCAAAGTGTTGGCTCTGGCGAAATAAAAACTCATTTTTATTAAGAGTTTTACTTGGTAGGAACCTATATTTATTAGAAGAGGTTTTTTATTTGGGAGATAGATCAAAATAAGAGCAAAAGAGATGTCATATCTCAAAGTAAAAGTTGAAACATAAACTTTCCTAAATAAGAGTAATATGAAGATGTTGTTCCTTTTTCATTTCCTCTCTGTTCGGTGGATAGGTCTGACGAAGATTTTGCCCCTAAATGTGATGTGAGTTGAAATAAACCAAACATAAAAAATAAACTTCCTCTATATCAATGGTAATGCATGCAGTGTGCGAACCAAAAACTCAAAATATACCATTTAGCTCTCCACTGGGTTTCGGCTCATTACACACACACACACATTTTCAATACAATGTCAATGTACATTGCTACAATAAAATGTCCAAACATTGTAAAAAAGGACCACACTAAATGCCACCTGTGGTCATATAATGGCAATCATGCCAATGTATAAAAACATACATGCGAATGCATAATGTTAAACAAATTAAATACATATTGACAACCTTGACATTGTATAATGACATTTCTGAAAATGTATAATGAAAGATATGTCAATGCTTAATGTCAAAAAGAAGTAAATGTCAAGAAATTCTACTATTTGCCAACACCATAATTATTCATTTTCAAAACCAATTTTACAAAAAAAAAATCTTAAGTAAATTCACAATTAAAATGGAATGTTACCTTTTATTTCAAATTGAACATAAAATTGAATTCAAACTTATCCATGTGGCAATTAGTGCCAATTTAGTTGTTGATTGTCATGGATTCTTGATCGCAAGGAGAGGTGATATTGAATGGATTCTTGATCGCCATGAATTCTTGATCACAAGGAGAGTTGTTTGTGTAGCTAGGGCTAATCAAAACATATATGTAATTAATTACTCTTATTTACAAGAGTTTAAGTTTGAACTCTTATTTTGAAGATATGATCAATGTTTTACTCTTATTTAGGATGTTTTCTTTTTTTATTTTGGCTTTCTTAGAGCTGTTTTTTTTTCTACAAATGTGACACTGAAGATGTTACAGACACTGTGACGAGATCAAAATTGTGTGCGCATGAGTTAAAGCTCTGAGATGTAATTTTCAGAATTATAGTCCTACTAGCTAGGGATGACCAACTTTGTTTAGGAGTCTCAACACTTTTCATAGCTTCCATTTGCTTGAAGATGCATATTCGGAAAGGAGTGCAAACTGCAAAGCTGTTTGGGAAGATTCTAAGGTTTGTGCGCAAGACTTACAAAGTTTCTCGGTGCTCGTGATTTGTGAAAAGCGTCTGTATATACCCAAGAAATCAGTGAGATTTCTTGGAGCGATTTTGCGGGAAAAACATAGAATATACGCTCATTCGAGAGCGTTTCCGTCGCGTGCCGGAACCATCTTTGCACGAAGAAGTTGCAATCCACATGAAGAAGGAGATCTTCAATGACAAGTGATCGTAAAAATCCAAAAGATGAACTCATGCGCCCTTTATTCATCTTGGACCGATGAATAAAGAGCGCATGGGTTGCGAGACCAGGTGCAGATTCAGCTTCGATGATCAAATCTACCAAGACCCGATCATGAGCCCAGATATCTGACCTGACTAGTTAAAACTCATTCGAAAAATGAAAGTTTGGGCTTGAGTTTTAGTGTTTGGCCCAGCTTGGCCCGTAAATTACTGGAGCCCGCAAGTGGTGACTTCCGGGTATGGCTTGTGTTGTTGTTAGGGAGAAAGACCAAAGTAGGACTAAAACATTAAAAATATACTAATATTAGACTTTCAGGTTTTTATTCCCGAAATAGGACTTACATTACCGAACATGGTCATGTACATTACAAAAAAAGTATAGTAATGTTCACATTTACAGTGCCACATTACCACAGTGCAAAGTCTTATTTCAGGAAAAAAAATGAAAGTCCTATTTAGGTTGATTTCTATTGTTGGAACTCGCACGTCGTGTGATCCCTCTATATTTATAGTTCCTACCTCCCAATTTAATTGTAAGTTTTCTTTTACGATGTTTGACTGAAGTTATTTCAATGTAATTTATTTGAGAGTTGGAATAGAATCTAAAAATAAAATTTAGATATCTAAGATTATATTAAAAGTTTTATGAAATAAAAGATGATATAAAAGTATTATTTTATCAAATGTATAACAAAAATTGAAAATCTTCCTTCTTAAATTACATTTAAAAATTTATCTACGTTGTTGAACTTGCAACTCTCAGAGCATCTCCAAGGTGTAGTGTAAATTTTAATAGTGTAAAGTGTAAACCTTATTTTACACTATCAACAATGTTTTACACAACAAGTTTTTTATATTCAATTCAACCATATCTTCTAAATAATACCCTCTTTTGATTAACGTGCAAAACTCTGTAATTTTTAAAATCATCTTATTTGTAAATTGGTAAAAAAAATAACACATAAAAAAGCCCTAAAAATTCTATTTAAAAACTACTTCGAATATTTTAAATAAGAGGTGACACGAATATTTTATTTTATCAAATGATTAATGAAAACACGCAAACAAATAAGAGTCATCGAGAAACCGTAATAGTAAACTAGAAAAGACTTTTTGAGACGAAGGGAGTACAATTTTATGCTCCCTAATATTTTAATTCATGGTAATTTTTTATCTAAAAACAAATTCATCAATGGCGAAGTCCAAATCGAAGAAGACGAATAGTGGAGAATTTTAGATCGAAGAAGACGAGCAGTGGAGCTGTGATTTTCTCTTGTGCGGCGCTTTAGTTGACTCAACTCAATACGTTGGAGAAAAGCTTTCCAAATCTGCGTGTTCTTCAGATTTGGGGATTCTTCGTGGGGGAGCAGAAGAGAGAACAAATACTCTTATACTTCCTCCGTTCTATAAAACTTTTTTTCTTTTGTTTTTTTTCCAATTCCTTAAAACACTTCAAGTTTATATTAAAAAACTACTTTTATTCTTACTTTTTCATGCTTCACTTATCACATCATATTTTTTCATGCCCCATTTATACAATAATAATTACAAAAATGCTAGGGGTACACTATTTGGGGTACCCCATTTGTACTCCCTCCATCTCCACCACACAAAGCAAGAGAGAGAAAAAAAATTAAAAATAAAAAAATAAATAAAAGGCTAGGATGCATGGTGTACAAAATGGAATACCCCAAATGGGATACCCCTAGCATTCCCCTAATAATTAGACTCCAATAGACAACAACCAACTCGAAAGGCTACTCCTATCTTTTCATATTTAGGCTTTTTAGACTCTAACACCTAACTTTAATAGCCATTTGATGAGCACTCTATCAGGCTGTTTGACTGGTCAAAACTATCAAAGTTAGTCAAAATAGTCAAAAGTCATCCAGAAAAAATCATTCTAAATAAGAGTAAAATATAAAGAAAGTACCAAAAATCAGTAGGGATTCTATGTTTTTATCCCATAAATAGGAGTTCGCACTGTTGCAATGTGACACTGTACATAAGCATTATACTATACTCTTTGATAATGTATATGGTTATGATTGGTAATGTAAATGCATTTTAACTCTTATTATGGAAATAAAAATATAAAATTATTCTTTTAATATATTTTCAATATTTAACTCTTACTTTAATTTTTTTTCCTCCAAAAAACTAATATCCAAACATGCCCTATATCTCGGTTAAAAATACCTTTATTTTTGGAAATAAATATTATTTACTTTCTTCTATTGGAATTAAAAACATTTTAAATAGATATATCTTTCTTTTTGAGATGGTAAATGAACAAAATATCTTCTTAATTTATCTTTTCCCTTTGGAGTTGCTCTTAGAGGTGGACTAGCAATGGAAGCTTGTAAGGGTGTATGAACCACTTCCATATTATACTTCCTGCGTCCATTAATTTGTTTCCCACTTTTCTTTTGGACTGTCCAAAAATTTCTTTCCTGTTACCTATTTTTTGTAATAAACTCTTAATGAATGTGCTATTATACTCTTACTTTATTTCATCACATTAAAGATTAGGCAACACATTGAAAATCTTTACTTTTTTTAACTTTTTATAATCTCCGTACCAAGTCAAACTGACAAAGAAATTTTTAAACGAAACAAATATAAAATAGGGTGAAAGATTTAATTGATCGAGTGTCATAATCCAACACCTAAATTCGATATCAAAATAGCCTTAGCCGGTATAAGTTAAGTGAGGTTTCCATGTAATTGTCCGGCAATGTCATGAGATGATCTGGTGTCCCGTTCGTAAAATTGACGGTTTTTCCCCCATAAACCCCTCTCCCTGTCCCGACCCGAACACACCCACACCCCCTTCTATTGCACTCCACAGGTTGATTTTGAATTTGAAGTCAAAATTTGGCTTCAAAGTCAAAATTAACTTGTGGGTGCAATTGAATGAGGTGGGGGGTGTTCGGGGCGGGGTGGGGGTTTATCGGGGGATTAGGATTGTAGGAATCGTTAATTTTACGAACGGGACATCGAAGCGTCCCCGGATCATCAATGACATTGCCCGATAATGTTATGGGTGAGTAAGATGAACATAGTACAAAATTTGTACAATAGCGGTGGTGGTTTGGCATTTAAAAATGGGAATGCGACCGCTACCCGGCCGGCCATGTACATACATACCCACAGGCACAGCAATGGCAATGGCAATGGCATCATCATCATCCCCTGTGCACCACACAGTAATAATTTGTAAATCTTGTCGTGCCTTGGCCCCCCCACATTTATTTTAATCTTATTTCTCACCCATTTGTCACTAAATGATTGAATTTATTCTGTCTTTCTCTCCTCCTCCTCCTCTGTTTCTAGCTCCCATCTCCCTCTGTTTTAGATAATATAATGCTCCTATAAGAAGAGAGCTAGCTAGCTACACTTATGTTTCTTGGTTTAAAGAAAAAAGTGCCTGTGCTGCTTGGTGAATGGGACGTGTCGGAGTTACTTGGGGCTTGGCGTTGCCGCCGGGAGTGTCTCCGGCGGCGGCGGCGGCGGGCGGCGCGGACAAAGAAGACCAGTGGAGGAGCTTCTACAGCTCCGTCAACGCGGTGTCGTTTGGCTTTGTCGCCACCGCTATTCTCATTGCAATGTTCCTTGTGATGGCCATTTTCGAGCGGCTCCTCCGCCCGGCACCCTCTTCCGACGACGACCCGTCTCCCTCCGGCGCTTCCCATCGCGTCATCGTCCGAACGAAGCTCGATTGTCCCTCCCCAGAAGTAAGAAATCTTCTCTCTCTCTCTCTCTGTCTCATAATAAGTTGTTTTTTGCAAGTATGATATTGCATTGCCATTTTTCAAGTTATTTCATTGGAGCTGATGAAGAAGATAAAAGGAAAATTACATTCATATTTCATCTGTCTCAAAATAATTTATCTTTTTACTATTATAATCTTTCAATAATTTTTGTTCCTTTACGTGTTTTCATTAATTATTTCATAAGGTTTTTCAATAAATTTATTTTTAAAAATCACAAGATTTTATTATGTTAAAAAGAGAATGTAATTCATTTATAGGAGGGTATATTAGTTAATAATCACACTTTTCTAGTAAAAACTGTGATCTTAGATTTGGAATCACACTGTTGGAAGGACTAAATTGAAACATATGATTTCTTTATTAAAAAACTCTTATTACTTCAAAGAACTAATTCAATCAAAAGTTTAAATTTGTAAATGTATATTACGAAATATTTTTATATTATAACAAAATCTTAAATTTTTAAAAATGAGTTTTATCTTCATGAACAAAAAAAATTATGAGCACAACCTTTTCATTATCAACCAGTTCAACTTGTGTTGGATTACCAGAAAGAAAGTCATACCAAAGTACCAAACAAACAGTCACTAACCCCAGAATTATTTTATTGCATTCATTTCTCGAATTTTGTTTTTTAATGTGACTGCAAACGACTCAATTTTATTTTGTTTTCTTTATGGAGCAAAAGTAGATAGGGAATTGATATTTGGGTCCCATCAAACAATTGGAGCATTTCTAAGAAATGCATTAAAGGCCAGGATCATGCTCTTTGTATAGATACACCAAACATGAATTGCACCCAATAATATTTTTTTGTCACATAAATAATTATTTTGTTTTCTTCAAAAACATGTTTTATTGTGTGTGATTTGGTGTAAATATATGTAAGACCCCATCCACTAAAATAGGCTAGGATTTTGTTATGGGTTGAAAAGACTCACTTTAATTAATTAGTTTTGGTTAATGAAACTTTCTTCCAAGTTGACATATTATTTGATGCAACATTATTACTACCTATGTCTCAAAGTATTCCTTCATTTTGATTTTTTCAAGTCAAATGGGATAACTTTTTAGATTTAATTAAGTAAAAACTATAATGTATATTAGTATAAAAATAATTTTAATTTATTTAACTTGTTTTGAATTTTCAGAAATTTTCTATTGTATTAATATTTAATATAAATTGAGAGTAACTGATAATTAATGTTTAATCAATTTCACTCGAAAAAATCAAACTGCATGAATACTCTATGAGGGAGGGAGTATTTGATTTGTATCCTGAAATAATTAGAAGCAGAGTCATCATGTGTCAATGTATTATTGAGCAAGTGGAGAAAGAGTCTATAATGTTCTTGGATATTACTCCATATCTCATTACCTTAATAGCATCAATTAATTAAAATACAATTTGTTTTCTTAATTATTACACCAAACATTAGAGACATTAATGTGATGCTCTATGTCTGCTTTTTCATGTTTCTTTTTTACCCTAATGGGCCCCTTTATGCCATCTGCATGTGCATTTGTCTTATTATTGAAATGAAGTTCTACATGAGGGTAATTTAAAATCTCGATTACACTATTTTCAAAAAAAAAATATGTTCACTAAAATGACAACATTTATTTATTACTCTCGAGTTTCCCATTTCTAAATAATTATTTATAATGACTTTTTAGATGCATTAATTTTTAATTGAATGTGGGTAAATATGATGTCTATAATCATTTAATTTTTAATATATTTTGAAAGTCATAATAGGTCACGATTATTTAAGAATATAATGAGTACAATATTTCTACAATTTTGATATCTTTTTAATACAAAGCTAATTGTTGAAATTTTGATGGGAAAATGATATATTTCCGCTTACAAAATTTTAGGAGGATAGTCCAACCGTGGTTGTTTAAAAGTAATGTCAACCATGTTGAGCGTGGAGGTGGGGGCGCATGGGGTGGTCGATTCCACCTTTTGGACCGATAAAAGTAATCCCATCGAGATATAATGAGAAATACCTACCTATGACTAAAATATGCTCTATATATAGTCAAATAGCTAGGCATTCAGTATTCTAATGCTTTAGTATAACTATAATCTCAAAATATTACAATGTATGTCAAGAATACAGTACAGTGAAATATATATCATAACACAATATAATGTCAATTGTGAATGTTTTACGGTCTCAATATCATACTTAAGGGATAAAACATCGGAAGACTAATGTTTGTGTGTGTGTGTGTACGTGTTGCAGATGACGGTGTACGGTAGAGGAGTGTCGGTGTTGATGCCTGGGGAAGACGTTCCCACGTTCATTGCCCATCCCGCCCCTCCGCCTTGCAGTGTGATGAGTCGAAATCTTGTAACCCCAACTCCGTCCTCGCCCTCTCCACGTTCATGCAGCAGCAGTAGTACTCCTAGCTAGCTAGTTGATGAATAATGATATATATGATGGTCTTATTTTATCACATAAATTTGGAAGGAAAAAAAAAGAATTGAGGAATGAGTTTTCCTATAGCTAGCTAGCTAGAGAGTCTTAGATCTCATACATATTATGTCTAACATGTTTCAAGCATTTGGAACTTTTTTTTATTTAAAATAAAATAATAACCTAACAAATAAGAGCTGGCTGAAATGGAGCATGTATGTATGGTAGCTTGTGCTTCAAACTCTTGATAATAAATTGAAGTGAGGAAGTTGGTCACTAATTAGCTTATACGGAGTAATTAATTTATATGATGATGATGATATATGGGTGAAATAATCACTAGTAGTAGTAGTGGTAGTTTACTTTGTGTTGTACTAATCATGAATTTGTTCAGTTTTGATTTTTTCCATCAAATATTTTTAATCTTTGATCTATAATTAAATAAATATATATTGTACATTAATTAGATAAAATTATATATATATTGAAAATATTTTATATAAAAAAAATCTAATAAAACTATTTTAATATCAATATTTAATATCACTTTTATTTAATTTGAAATCAACTTTTATTAATTTTGATTAAAAAAAGTCAAAAGTGGACGAATACTATACTCCTTTCATATGCTTTTCCCTTGTGGTAAACCATTTTTCCTTTTTGACTTTCTACTAATGCTTACTGTATTCAAAAATAAATTTGCACGTTATTATTTATTTATTATTTCAATGTCAGATTATAAAGTAAATTTCATAACATTATGTTTGGTTCAAAGAATTAGGAAGGAAAAGAAAAAAAATGATTTTCTTTCATTTTTTCTCACCAAAATGAGAGGAATTTGGTTTTCCCTCTACTTACATTTTGTCTTCTCATTTGCTTTTTTTCCTTTCAAATTCCTTAAACCAAGCATAGTACAGATTATAAATAGTTACTAGAGTAATTTACTTAAATATGACTAAAACATAATGACTTTCTCAATATATGACTATATATTTTCATTTCCCAATATAGGATCATTAGTCATTATGTATTAGTCATTATTCAATTAAACATTCACCATCATTGGGCATTATTCTTCCCATTAGGACATTATTAAGTCCTATTTAGAGAATAAAAGAGTTTAAGTCATACATTGAAAAATGACTTCTATTTTAGTCATATTCACTGCAAATTTCACTAGTTACTAATCATATATATATATATATCAATATATATATATACATACATATATATATACATACATACATATATGTATGTGTGTGTGTGTGTATATATATATATATACACATACAGACATACATATATATACATACATACATATATGTATGTGTGTGTGTGTATATATATATATATATATATATATCTATTTATAGATATAGATATAGATATACATAGTACGGAGTGTGTGTGTGTGTCTATATATATATATATATAGACACACACACATACACACATATATATGTGTGTGTGTGTGTCTGTGTGTGTGTATGTATGTATGTATGTATGTATGTATGTATGTAAAAGGGAGTTAGATAGTTGCGGTGATCACACGTGTCATACCACAGATGCATACTACTGACATGTGTCATGCCACATTTAAACCACAAGACACATGTCACTACACACATGCATATTTAATTTTGTATTAAATTATTGTTTTTATTATATTTTATAAATTCTTCACTTTCCAACAATAAAAAACCCTTATGTTTGTTACTTTTTATAAAATTTTTACTTTCTATTTATTTTAGAAATATTTTTTTTGTTTTAAGATATTTTTTAAATATGCACGATTATTTTATAATATTAAAAAATTTATATAAAATTTATTAATTTAAAAACAATGTTTCTTATAATTTTTAAAATTATCCATCATCTCAAAAGAAACTATTGTATATAAATTTTATCACACGTGTATCTTTATTAAGTTCATAACATATTTTAATATTTTATCTTATTACACTATTTATTTTATTACATATTTTTTAGCAAACTAAACACACTGAAAGTTTAATTGAAGGGTTACATGTGGCACATAAGAGACATGTATTCTCTAATGATGTGTAATTACTTAACTTATTTATTTGACATTTTTGTTTTAATTTTTATTAATTAAAACAATTTCCATTATTTTTTATTTGATGAGCATTATATTTGTATAAAACTTTAAAACAGTAAGAAATTATTTATCAAACACATTATATATCATTATTAAAAATTTAAAATAAAAGGTATTTTACTTTTAGATTTCAAAATTTAGAATATAAGTGAGCCCGTGCGAAGCATGAGGTTAATACTAGTTATATGTAGTTTTTTATATTTACTGCTCAATTATTTTAAGACATTACATATACAGTTCTCAATTTTTGAAAACAATTCCTCAAATAGTTCTTTTCACCAAATATGACAAAATAATTTGAGTAAATTCTTAAAATGGTCTTTTCTAATAAAAATTTTTCCCAATGAATACTCAATAAGCAAAAGTTACTAACATGATCTTTTATAATTAAAATATGTTGTAAATAGTCTTTTATTGGAAATACCTATTAAATTATTGCTAAATAGAGATTATTTTGATGTTTTTTAATATCAAAACTATAAATAGGTCCTCAAAATGATTTTTTTTAAATTAAGTGGGAGGCTACTAATAAATACTCCCTCCGTCCCACTCTTTTTGTCCACTTTCATTTTTGCACACCATCCAATTCACTTCTTTAATCCGTTTTATCTTGTAATTTGTATATTAAAAAATTATAAAAATTATATATTAATAATCTATATGTTAAGACAAATCAAACAGGATTACACATGACTATTTTTAAACTTACACATTGAGAGAATTTGATGAGTCAAAGTACTTAGATGAACAGTTCCAAAAGTCAAAACTGGACAAAGAGAGTGGGACAGAGGTAGTACTTCTTAATAATTATTAGTGTGAAAAAATGTCTCCATTTTGAAAAAATGTTTATTTACAAATTATCAATTTGGAAAAATATTTAATTATAAATGAATATTTAATTATAAATGAACATTTCAAGAATATACTTTAAACCTAGATAATAGAATATATCAAAATATCTTCTAATTCACTGACATTTAATAGACACTAACATATTTTCATTAATAATATGTCAAAATATAGCAATAATTAAATTATCTCTTCTTTGATAAAATTTTTAATGTATTTTTTTTGAAACTATACTGACTCAAACATCAAAGCATACACCCAATAATAAAGATGCTACCCAAACAGAGCTATACAAAATCGATTAAGCTATTTGTAGATCAAGATTTGTACCCTATGTTGTATGAGGCATGCACCAAACTTTTGTGCTAGTGTCATGATTTACATTAAAAAAAATATCAGTGCAAATTTTTTTAATTGAACTAACATTTTCTGTCCGTGTGAACCGTTAAAATTTCAGTGCATTTCTTTGGGTACACTAAAAGTACTGTACCCCTAGCATGGTTGATACAACATACAAGAAACTACTCTAGAATATCTTCGTTTTTCTAGTAATAACTCTCACGTTCCACATTATTTGAAATGTATTATGAGTACTCTCAATTTTCTGGTAAAACTCTTAAGTCTCACATTATACAAAATATACATCACGGTTTTTAAAATTTGTGATATTATATTTTGAAGTTACATTCCATCTATTTAGGCATTAGAATTGAAAGTTGTTTTACTTAGAGAAACTGAAGGATTTTATTAAAATTTAATAAAATACAGAGTAATGATTATGAAGGTAAAACTTAATATTTCTCTAAGTACCAATACTATGAATCCAAATGGTCAAATAGATGGAATGTACCCAAGGAGCTAATTTTAAGATCTCTCTTAATTTTGCACAAGCTCAGTACAGAGAGAACTAAACGCATTGAATTGGATTGTCACTTTGCAAGAGAGAATTTACAAGACCGCCTTATCACTCTTATTCATGTTTCCACCACTCCACAATTGATTGATATGTTTATGTAGTGCTTGTTCGATCTTTAGAGTTGAAAAAAAAAAAAGAGTACGATGCTAGTAGAAACGGAAAGAAGATAAAAATAGAAAAATTAGAAGAAATAGAAAAAGATTGGAAGGAACTCAAAAAGATTAAAAAACTAGAAGCGGCTGAAAAGAGCTGTAAGCTAGAAATGAAAAAATTGGAAGAATAGAAGAAATTGAAAAAGATTGGAAGGAACTCGAAGATACTGAAAAACTAAAAACAATTGAAAAAAGCTGTAAGCTAGAAATTAGATAAATCAGATGGAACTTCAAAAATTTATACAAGTGTATTTTTCATATTATTTTAAAAATAAAAACATATTACTTTTACTTTGGGATAGAGACTATATTCGATTCCTATTTTGGATAATTTTTTCTTCTCTATCAAATGAAAATTTTCACTTTCTTTCTATCCATTTTTTTAAAAAATGTTACTTCTATTCCAGAAAAAATATGTTGCTCAAACATTTGTTTTTTTTTTCTTAACAAATTCTAACAATATCGTTTTTCCTTTAAAACCTTTATCAATTTTTAACGGCCTAAGATATATCCTAATAAGACAAATGGCCCAACACCACTACTAACTATACAAGGGGACTCAGGAGGGAATATAACAAGCTTGGAAGAAGTAGTATATGCATAAAATGAAGTACCAATTTAAAGCCCAATTTGAAGCCCATAAGGCCCAACACAATAACCACATAAAATCCACACAGGGAAACAAGTCGTGTTATGTGTGTTGGGTCAGGTGAAACTTGGGTGGGTCAACATATTTCGGGTCTGGTTCGGGTTCGAATAGATTTAAGCTTTGGTAAATTACATCGACGATTCCGGGTCTGCTTTGGGTAGCATACGAGTCAAGTCCGGTTTGGTTAGAGCATCCAGTGAAGAAAGAAAAGAAAATACTCCCTCCGTAACTCACCCTTTCTATAATCCTCAACCATTACACCGAATTCAAACCCAAAATATAGTAAATATCAAATCAAAGGGTAATTCATCTTCAACCCATTACACCAAACGGATGCATATTAATTTTTTTCAAAGAAAAGATACTATACATTTTGAGCAAAAAAAAAATCCATTGTGTGTTTAAGAGTACCTCAAGGTATATATGCATTAATATTTCGATAATTTACATTGTGTTAGTGCAACCAAACAAAATTTTACACTGACATCTTGTGCATGTGCGAACAATCACACTAGCACAAAATAAAGATGCATAACTAATTTGTATAACTTTGAATACAAATTTTAGTGTAGAACTAACTTAATTGTACTCTTAATATAGTGTACTCGATTTTGATGAGACTTGGCCATTTATTTATCTGATGCATTTTTTTTCATTCTATTATAATGAAAATAAGCATACCAAACTTGACCATATAAATAATATCCAAAGTAACATCTCTACAGGAAGTAAATGCAAGATTTAAAATAAGTATCGAGATCCACAGTGAAGTTGTATATAAAGCAATCCAAGAGGATATTGAAACTTATTTGTCTGAAGTAGATTCATGTCCCTACAAAAATTTGTTCTGAATAGAACTAAAACATAAGTCATTTTCTAATGTAGGATTTAAATTTTTTTATTTTCTAAATAGGATTTAATAATGGATAGTGAGAATGAATAATGCCTAAGTGATGCTGGACATTTAGTTGAATAATGACTAATAGACAATGACCAATGGTCCTACATTAAGAAATAAAAACATATGGTCCTATATTAAAAAAATTATTATGTTTTAGTCCTATTTAAGTAAATTATTTATGAGACAAATTAAATGGACGAGACAAATTAAATTTAATTTAAATTGCATTGGTGTTTATTTACCGGACGAAGAAAGGTAGTTTGACTTCACTTGACCCCCTTTTTCAGCATCCAAAATCACACGATAATACTATCGTCCCAATTTATAACGCCTGTTTCGGTTTACGATGTTTGACTGAAATTATTTTCAAACAATTTTATATGACAAATGGTATAGAATTAAAAAATAAAAATTACATATTAAAAAACTACATCAAAAGATCTACAAAACTAATAGTGACAATAATATTTTATTTTATCAAATTGCTAACGAAAATAGAGAAAGAAAGTGAATGAAGTTTGACTCTGTGAATAATAAAAAGGCATTATAATTTGGGACGGAGGGAGTAATTAATAACGACATAAAAAAATTAATTTCGAACAGTCGAAGATCCGAAACGACAACGTCTTGGCCCCCGATTTGACATTTCTCAGAGGAATATGAAACATTCCAAGGAAACGAGAGGGTTCTCAAGCGACTCGCCGGTCTCCTCCGCCGCGCCGGCGTTACGTGTCTCCGATTTATCGTCTCCGGTGTGGCGCTCTGCGCTTCTCGCTGGCGAACGGCCACCTTCCCCCACGGCGGGGCTTTTGTTGCTCACATTGCGACGAGAATCCACCTCTCGGCGCGTGGCAAGGGATCTCGACCGGCGCGTGGTGGCGGAGTCTCGTGGAACGTCTTTTTGAGGACCCGCATTACGCCTCTGTGACGTCACGCGAGACCGGCTCTGGCCGCCTCTCGACGAGGCCAGAGCATTCCTCTTCTCCGGAGACGGCGTCGATCTTCCCGCCGGTGACCTGAAACTCCTGTCGATCCTTCCGGCCAGATCTCCGGTCCCCCGCCGCTTCCTCGGCGGGGCAGGAGACCTCTGGTTGACTTCTCCGTCGTCATCCCGCCTCTCCGTCGCCGTCGTGGAAATACTCTCACTGAAGCTGCACATTTCAGAAGGCTCAGAAACGGCAACCTCCTCTTCCTCCTCCTTAACCACGCCACCGCGCCGCCGGCCTCCGGGAACCTCAACCTTGCCCTTCTCAAAGTCAACATCTTTCAGCTCACCATTCCCGATCTTCTCCTGCTTCTCCTCATCCGGCAAAGAAATGGGCTTTGAGATGTGGGTCTCCGACAAGACGACTTCTTTGACGGTTTCCTCCTCCACCGGCGGCGCAGATCTGTCAATCTTGACCGGATCCGGCGAGCTGGGACCTGCAGGGGATCTTCTTGTGCTTACACAACAACCCATCTCGCAGAATCAATTCAATCACAAACTAAAAGTAGACGAAATTGGGTGTGAAATTGCAAAGGCTAAAAGGCATTGTTACTATGAGTTCAAATATTAATGGAAGGGGGGGAGAAGGTTTCTGGGGAAGAGCAGAGTTTAATGGCGGTCGGAGTCGTTGGGGAGGAGAAAGGGAAAGGGGTGGGGGTGAAAAATCTGTGGAAATGCACAGGTATTTGATGTGAAATGAGCAGTGTGATTTTCCAAAAAAAAGGCCCATATTAATCTGTGAACACCTTTTTTAAATAATGCTAAGGAGTATAAAGACAAATAAATATATACAAACATTTAAGACAAGAGAAATGGCCCAAATGAGAATTTGGATGAAGAGTAAAGTTTGAAAACATAAGGGTAAATCCTTCTTACTCTCGTATTTTACTTTTTTTTTACTTTCAATTAATATTATCTATTTTCCAATATCAATTACTTCCTCCGTCCCATTTTAATCTTTCCGGTCCGCGTTACAATGTTTGATCAATATTATTTTCAATTCAATTTGTGAGGTCCTTGTGCAAGATGTGCCGAGATTGACGGGACAAGATCGATCCAGGACGAAGGAGAGAGCCAACGAAAAAGTCAATCGGCGATTACAAGGATGAGTTGTACTCCTTATCCACTCCAATAACCGACTTTTTGGAGGTGAAAAAGGCTTCCATCGAAATAAAAAGAAGTCATCAAATGGTGGCCGACACGGCATTCCTTGACAAGAAGTATAACGATATGTCCGAACGTGGTCTTGTCTTGACCGAGATGAAGAAGAAGAAAAATAAGAAAACAATATGAGGCCAAGCCTGAACATCCTAGATATTTTATATTTCATCTTTTTTATTTCTACCATGCTTTTTCCTCGTGTTTTTCTATCTTTATTTTTCTTAATTTAAGTAATGCATGCGTGTATTTTTTTCATTAACGTAATATATGCGTTATTTAATTAATTGTCTTTTGTTGGTGCACTAATTTGTTATACTAAAAAAATAGAAAAAAATTAATAACAAAAAATAACAACGAAAATATAATAATAACGCAATAAATTTTTATTAATTTGTATCATTATTTTATAAATGATAGAATTTAATTTGAATAGAAATAGGTATTTAGTTATAAAAACATAAGTGTAATCATTGCAATAGATATGAAGCACTACAGTGTGAAGTAATTGAACTAGTGAGTACAACGCTAATGTAGTGCTGAATGATTGTTGATTTGGATTAAGCGGTGGTAGAGCGCTATACATAGCCTTAAAAAAATTTGAACTTTGTGTGAAATAAAGAAAGTATGATAGCCTAAAACTAAAAATAGAACTTTGTGAGACAGCGAAAATATTAACCTACATCTCCTTTTCAAAAAAAACCTACATCTCTCCTCATACTTCTCCAATATTAATTTGCTCATCACATCATATTTTATTCAATCACTTCATATTTATCAACCATAAAGGAAGGGTATCATGGGAAGTAACTCTCAAATTTCTATTACATACCAACTTTATCAAATACTCTCTCCGTCCATGAAAACTCTTCTTATTTTGACTTTTTTAGTCAAATAATGACACTCTTTGACTACAAGTTATAAGAAAAATATATTAAATTGTAATATATTATATTAATATAATTGAATTTATCTTAAGATATAATTTTGATATACAAAATTTTATAACATTTATTTATTTAGATTATATTTAATTTGTGGTCAAAGAGTATCAGAGTATAACTGTTTGACTAAAAAAAAGTCAAAACATGAAAAGCTTTCAAGAGCGGAGAGAGTATATAAAAAGATTTTTGACAGGTTAGGAGTGATTTTTATATCATTTTCATTTTTTTTAAATATATACAAGTTTTATTTTTAATTCTACACTAATTATTGGTTTAAAAATAATTTTTGTCAAGCACTGAAAAAATTAAAGAGAAGTTTTTGGTGGGAAAGGCAATTATTTGATCAAAAAAGGAAAAGGAAAAGAGAGGCGTATAACCGAAGGTCGAAAAAACACAATGATTGTGTATAAAGATTAAAAGGTGATGGCTTTCAAAACCACAAGTAATGTTTTAGGCTTTTAGCTGGTCGATCTTTACCTTTTCCAAACGGTCCAGTCCCCACAAAAAATAAAAGCGATTCTCTCTCGGTCCCAAAAAAAAAACATAACGCAACATCATTTTTGACAAACTACAAAAGCAACAGCGCATTCAGTTTAGAAAGTCTTGTGCAATACCAAGGAGATAATATAAAAACAAAGGGGACGGTTACTATGACATTGTCCGACAATGTCATGGAATGATCCGGGAGGCTCCGGTGCCCCGTTCGTAAACTTGACAGTTCCTACCCCCGTTAAATCTCCCCACCCCCTGACCCGAACACACTCCTCACCCTCTTAAATCGAACCCCACAAGTTGATTTTGACTTTGAAGTCAAATTTTGACTCCAAAGCCAAAATCAACTAGTGGGTTGCAATTGAAGGAGGTGGGGGTGTACAAGGCGGAGGGGGGGGTACCAAGGGAATTAGGGGGTAGTAATCGTCAATTTTATGAACGAGACCCCAGAGCATCCTCGAGTCATCTCATGACATGGGGTTCCAATGTCATGGAAACCCCACTTTTATTTTGAATTGTGTTCCAGGGAGACATCGACTATTACTCTTTTATGTGAATAGTTAAATATGCAGTTTAATTTGGGACGAAGGGAGTATGATAACTTCATAATATTTCCGATGAATTAAAGTACATGAGATTGTTAGGAAATATGCCCTTGATCATATCTCATCCTGAAACCATTAAGAATCATTTTAACCAACTTTATGACATAATGGTAACATACAAATTAACAATATCCTATCCGTGCAACGCAAGGTCATGATTCTAATCAATCATAAACAAAATATGCTACTATTCACATGAGCATATATGACATATCCACTATGATGTATATAATACCTGCCTTATTGCTATAGAGTATAGATGAATGGTCAACACTTGCACCAAGATATCCGGGACAAATAGTCTTTAAAAGAATCAATGAAAGCCAAAACCACTGTGTAGGCCTTGTTTGTGCTTTGCCATTTCGCTAATCAAAGCTGCTGCTCAAAGTAGGATTCCTGTTATTTGAAAACGGCGTATTAGGGAGAACCTCCAATAGGCAAACTTTACCATAATCTGTGGTCAGAAAATGGAGGCTAGGCCGAAGAAGCAGCACGATCAGATTCAATCATAGACTTGATGTAAAATTCTCCAGCCTTGTATGATGATCTAACCATAGGACCAGAAGCAACATATCGAAATCCCTGTGGCATCCAGCATAGCAATCATTTCATTACCCATGGGGCATAATATGCAATTTAGCATGCCAATGACAGACACTAAAGCTCAGTGCATGCATACACAGTAGTGCTTATGTAAAACAATGCGGCTTTCCTACTGTTTGAAGTAAAACAGGTTTTATATTTGCTTCTATGTATCTACACAGCTGGTAAAATTGTAACAGAGCATCTTTTAATAAATCATCTTTCAAAGAGAACCCGCACACTAAATCATTTTTAAAAGTTTGACAGCAATGAGAGTGAATTGAGAAAATTATAATAATGGTAGAGATTATTTTTGGACAGGATTGGAAAGAAAAGGACGGCGAATAAAGTATAAGATGCTAGGAAGTAATTAAAAACAAACTTTTGCACGTATCTACTTTGAGCTTGATATGAATAAATTTTCAGAACATTAGCATAGCTTATGTTTAGGGCACTGTTGTTTCCAATTCTATTTTCCTATACAATTTTTTTAAAGATGATGGAAAACTGAATTCTATCACAGCACCAAATATGTCCATTACAATGATACAACATGAGCACAAAACTTTGTATCATATTCAACCTTCCTATCATGGCTGCCAAACTTCCTACCATACATTGATTCCATTTTGTTTTCTCACTTATCATTTTGACAGCATATTGGTTAGCAAACTTCATTCATATCATGTATATGCAATGGCAAGCAAGAATGAGGCATGAACAATAAACATTTAAAGAACACCCAAAATTATTCAATAGATAAATGTGGGAGAAATTGATACAAACCATTTGCATCCCAAGAACTCGATACTTCTCAAAAGCCTCAGGAGTAACATATTCTGATACAGGCATATGCCGCTTTGAGGGTCTCATATATTGACCAAATGTCATCACATCCACACCAGCTGCACGTACATTTTCCATGGTTTTAACAATTTGGTCTGGTGTTTCACCACAACCCAGCATTATGGATGTTTTGGTTAGCGTACCAGCAGGAGCATATTCCTTGGCCATCATCAAGACATCCATGGACTGCTTGAAGTTAGCACGTTGATCCCGTACAACACTCTGAAGCTCTTCAACTGTTTCGATATTATGAGCGAAAACATCTAATCCGGACTTTGCAACTTTCTCAACACAACTAGAATTCCCTCTAAAGTCTGGAACTGCAATAAAGAAACAATGTCAAGAAATGAGAATGAAGACATACATTCAGAAGGAAACTAATGTAGACACTTACACATCAAACCGTTTCTTTAATTTGTCTGTGTGTAGAGTCCGTACACACACCCACATACTACGAGAATTGATTGGACTACAAGACTAATAATAACCGTTCTACCCCAGCCAGTACAGATTATTACTCCCCCTCTCATCCTTATTGTGAGGCACAAAAGACCATATTTCACGAAGCTGAGAAAATAGTTACTTTTTCTTGAGTTCCAAATTTTTTATGGCATTTCAACATGACCTTCTTCTGATATGCTTTGTAAATGAATAATTTCTATGAAATAAACATGAACACAATGTTGATGCCCTTATAAATGATTCATGGAAAGAGCAATACCATACAAATAATAAATGATTAAAAAGCAATCCCTTATAAAAAAGGACCACTGATCTCCTTTTTATTCAAATGTGCCCTGCAGTAAAGACTGGAGGGAGCACTTGCTAAAAGGTCAGGATTCACAAATGGTAATCCTCCTGAGCTTAAATAATACATAATACTGGAATGTATCATTTAAAATCTAATATGCATTAGACAAACAAGAATGACCACATTCTAAAGATCATAATTGTCATGGCATCATAGTTATTAATGGCGTGTGGCGAGGGGTGGGGGAGAGGACCTTTTTTATGGCGGGAGGCGTGGCAAGAGGCGGGCGTTCAAATGGCGAACATATATAATAACAATAATGATAATAATAATAATAATTGTAATTAATAGTAATGATAATAATAATAATAATATTAT